TTTTATTGAGGACTGCATTGGATTGTGTTTGGTCTCGGAGGACTAGGGGCAGTGAGGTGGATGTGGGCATGGCCACGGTGGGCATTTGACACAGATTCAACAAGCATTTTTCTCTCTTTGCATTCAAAACAGCTATTCCAGATAAAGGGAGATTTACTTTCTGGCACAAATAGTCTCAGTTCCATAATGTAGAGATTAAAGACATGTAGAGTCCTCAGATGCTATGATGTTTGACTCTTTTGTATAGGAGCAGAGCATAAATGAACTGACAATTTCTCCAGATGTCTCTAAAAACTGTCGGTCTAACAGTCTATCAATCTTTGTTACTATTTTTGGCACAGCCCTAGAGGACAACTTAATATTAGTAATAATTACAACATTGATATACCACCCAATTCTCAATGACCCTGGGTGGCTCACAACAATAAAAAAAGCATACCTCCTCAGCTAATTCCAAGCTTCCAGTTTTATCTTCTTCATTGTCAATCACAGGTTAAAAAATTAAGATAAAAGATGACAAACTCACCGATACGAGGGGGCTCATTCTCTTTCATCAAAGACCTGAATGAAGAGCCAGATGTTTTTGGCTCTTCTGAACAACAGCCATCCAGATCTTGGAGAGTACATAATTCTAGTTGACAGATGCTGCTAAAGAGAAGGTGAAGAAGGTGCTGCTTCCTGCAGCACTCTGCTGGCCCAAAACGGGCCTCCTGCAACACCTTTGCTGGCTAAAAACGGGCAATGGGGGGAGGGAGTTTCGTGCAAGCCTCTCCCACAGCCCATTTTTGGCCAGCAAAGATGTTGCAAGAGGTTGTGGAGGCTGAAAACAGGCTGCAGTAACCCTCCTGCACCTCCCAAGCAGCCCATTTTGGTCGGCAGAGGAACCACGGGCCGGTCCTTTGATATTTCCAGGCCAGACTCACAGGCCAGATCTAAGCAGCCTGAGGGCCTTGAGTCTCAGAATGAACAAAGACTTGCAATAAATTTCAAAGATAATTTTAAAAAGTTTCTTTCAACATATAAATAGTAAGAAAAAGTCAAGGAAAAAGTTGATCCACTAAAGAGAGAAGTTGGCAAGGAAGTAACAGGCAGCAGAGAGAAAGCAGAGCTGCTTAACTCATTCTTTGCATCAGTCTTTATGCAAAAATATACTATAGCTCAACTTACCAAAAACATAACCATAAAAGGCAGACTAGAAATAAAAATTAAAATAAATTAAAAAATGGTAAGAGAACACCTGTCAGCTCTACCTGGATTCAAATCACCAGGAACATCTCAGAGTTCTAAAGGAGCTGGCAGATGTTATCTCAAAACCCTTGTACCATATTTTTCAAAAATCCTGGAGCACCAGGGAACTACCTTGCAAAAGAGCTAATGTGGTTTCCATCTTTTTTTTAAAAAAAAGTAGGGGGAAACAGACCCTGCAAACTACAGACCAATCAGGCTAACCTCAATACCTGGGAAGATACTGGAAAAGAACCAAAAACAGATCTGTGAACATCTGTTGTTGTTGTTAGTTGCAAAGTTGTATCTGACCCATTATGACCACATGGACAACATTCCTCCAGGCCTTCCTGTCCTCTACCATCCTCTGGAGTCCATTTAAGCTCACACCTACTGCTTCAGTGACTCCATCCAGCCACCCCATTCTCTATCGTCCCATTCTTCTTTTGCCCTCAATTGTTCCCAGCATTATGNTTTTTTATTTTAGATTGACTTGAACACAAGTTCTTTTATGCTCTTCAAAGGAGAAAGGTTGTGCTCCCCCCCTTTCTTGTCCCTGCCAAAATAGTTCTCAAAGGCACCTGCAAAAACAATTCATGCCCTTGGCTCTTTATCAGTTTCTGTAAACAAGCCGCTCAGTTCTTTGCTTAAGGATCTAATTTGGCTTTAAAGAAAAAATTCTTTGGGCAGTCTTTCACAAAATAGAAAAAATACCTCACCAGATGGACTCACTTTCTCTTTTCACTTCCTTCCTTCCGGAGCATCCTGATTTCATCAGCCTGGGGGCTGGCTATTTACTGCCGGCTTGAACCGCTTCCCTCAGGTCAATCAGGGACTTTGCGATGTCCCTGAAACCAGCAAGGTTTCATCTTCCTGATCACCGTCTCTATAGGACGGTTTAGGTCTCAAGGGACCATCCAGTGGCAAAAGTGTCAACGGCGGTCTCGGAGTATCGAGACCGCACATTGTGACATCATTATGTGACTTCTCTTTTCCAATCTTGTTGTAATGCTTTCTGTGCTCCGTCAGAGACATCTAGGTCACCATGAGTCCTCTTCAGAAATCTTTTCACCATGTACCTGATTATTATGTGTTCGGGTCAGAGAAGTTCCTTGCACAACTGATGATCCTTCATGTACTCTTCAGCATTTTCTGACAGATATGAAAGCCAAAAGCTACTCTGCTTCTTAATTATTTCTTAATTATGTCCTGCTATTCCTCTAAGAAGTGCCAGGTAGCTTACATGGACTCATTTAACCCTCACAACAGAAACCTCATAAGGAAGATTGTAAGAGAAACAGATGACCCTAATAGTCGAAACTGACCCACCCCCTCATTCTCTAACCAATGAGCTAATTACTATTTCAATTGTGACGTAGCTTAGCCATGCACTTGATGAACCAGTTTCACAAGACTAATGGCTATTAGCAAGTTTACAGTAAGCAAAGTCTTTCTTAGACTCCCATATTATCCAAATCAGAGAAATATAAATATTATAATAGGTTTGGGCTCAATAGGCTAATACCAATATTCAACTTCTTTTGCTCATACACATTCCTATGGTCATAACAGATCTTTTAACTACCCCCAGTATTTATCATAAATGAAGGACAGCAGTCTTTGTGTCTTTACATTCTCCAAAGCCAAACTTTCCTGTCTTAAATCTTTACACTGCTACTCCTTCACTAAGCACTTTAATGTTCCCAGTAAGAAGTTGTCACAGTGCTTCTCAACACAAAAGTATACTTGTATCTTCAGAATAAAGTCAGGAATTACGAAGCCATACAATATTGCTTTCATAAATGACTATCCCATTCTAGAAAAGCATCAAGACCAAAGAGAGAAAATCAAGCATCTCTTCCTCTTAGTCCTTTTTGTTAATATTTTTTTTTACTTTTATGAACAATGACTTTACTTTTTTCTTCACTATCTTTTATATATTCTTTTATTTTATACTATTTTATCTGCTGTGCAACTCATGGCTTTTATTCAGTCTTATTTTATAGTAATTAAGTTTAACTTTACATGTTATTCAGTTATCAAATTGAAAATATACTTTGGTAATAAATATGAGGCATTGGAAACAAATCCAGTAGCACAGAATGAGGAAGATGAAAAGGAAACTCAATGGTTGTGACAGACCATAATGGATTCAGAATGAAATTACAACATTTCTACTGAAGTACAGCAGTAAAAAGGTACGATTCCTGTAAAGCTGCAACTAAATTAAGGAACAACTAGATCCAGCATTTATGAGTCACACAGTAACAGCAATTAACAAACACATTGACTATAATTAACAAATGAGCATCTTATATTTGACCCAGAATCCATTTGGATTATTTGTTTTTGAAGCAATATAGGTGAAAGGTAGACAGATATTCATCTCAAATCTTAAAGAAAACCAGGAAGAGAACCCTCTCCAAGTACAGGAAAGCATCAGAAAAGAAAAATCAGCCTAATTTTACTTCTGATTCAAAGGGGAGAAAAACAAAGAGTCACAAGATGAGGAATGGAGACAGAAAAGATTATATAAAGAGATACAATTACTAGTATTGATGTGTATTTTGCAGGCCAATGAAATGAGATCAGCATTGGCATGGGCATTATGGTAAATTTTACCCATACCTAACATTTTCAATAAACAATGAAACAAAATTATATCTCAGACTTATTCCAATTGCTATATATTAATATGGGTGTGTGAAAATATTAATTCTTTACTGTTGAAGAATTTTTTGCGCTTTTTTTTAAAACCAGCCATCCTCCCCTTGGATGTTTATCTTCATAGCCACCCTGTAAAATAATTTAAGCCGAGACAGCTCGACTGGGGCCAGGCTAAGCTTTACACAACCACATTAAGAGTACAGTACAGAGCGAGCTGTTGAGCCTTCTGTGCCATCCTTCGCGAAGAAATAAGCAGGAGTTGCCCCGCCCCGCCCCACCCACCACGAACTGTTATTGCACATCCTCCTGCCACTTCCATTCAACCTTTGCCCAGAGGCTTCTCTCTTCCTGCTGCCCACCAAACAAGGTCGTCTTGTTAAAACCGCTAAGTCACAAGGAGCTACAAGACGCACCCCCCCCCCTCTCCCCCGCCTCTTCCTGGAAAGGCTGGCCGGGAAAATGGTCTCCGTGGCTCCAGGAGAAGAACCGGACTTTAACGTTTTGGAGCAGTGCTTCTCAACCTTGGCCCACCTGAAGATGCGTGGACTTCAACTCCCAGAATTCCCCCCAGCCAGCTCTGCTGGCTGGGGGGATTCTGGGAGTTGAAGTCCACGCATCTTCAGATGGGCCAAGGTTGAGAAGCACTATTTTAGAGTAACCGCCGCATTGTGGTTGTACACCTGACCAAGTACGGGCGGGCACACCAAGCGCGTTCGCCTTTCTTCTCCTCCTCCAAGATTTCCTCAGCCCCGCGATAATACTACTAGCGCAACACAACCTGGCCTGCCCACCCACCCCCTAAGCCTCCGTTCCAGGAGAAGGAGCCCAAGTGGGGCGAAGAACCGTAAAGGTAGCCCTGCCCGAGACGCTACCAGCACAGCCGCCGCCGCCAGTGCAGCCGCAGAGCTGCAGCCGTCGAATGGCCTTCCCTGTCAGGCTAAAGGGACCGATCCTGGTCTCCAGCTCCCCGGCGTCTTCAGGCAGACTAGGCTCGATATGCACGTACCCCCAGGCTTCCTAGGAGCCTCCTCCAACGGCGATGCCCAAAGTCCAGTCCCAGCCCTCGCGTCGTCCCCAGGGGCAGGGGCAGGGGCAGGAGCCGCGCCTACCTGTCTCTGGCGTCCTCTGAAGGCCGGTGTCCACTCTCCCCGTCTGCTCCTTCCTTCTATCTATCGGTTTCAACAATACCACCGCAAAGTGCGCACGGCCGTGACGTCACTCCAGGAGCTCCAGTCATCGGGCGGCCAGCGAGGGAGGGCGCTGCAGTGGGGCCACCGCGCCAGCCCTGGAAGCATGCTGCCCCCGGGACGTGCGTACAGCTCTTTCCGCCACCTCCGCGGTGTTGGGGGGAGGTTTCAGGTTCTTTTATTGAAGAGCCCTCCTTCTTGTGGTCCTAATGGTCCAGTCTTTTGGATCCCGCGGGAAAGAAGGAACAGGAGTGGGGTAGAGGCAGGTCACGCCTGCAGGAACCCCCCCGTCTCCCATTTCTTTTGGCTGTCTGACTGCGTTCTTTACAACATGCTTGTTTATTATGGTATCACATCTTTCGCCCGCTGCAATCACAAGCAGACTCTCGGCGGTTCACTGAACGATCAAAGAACATTTTTAAAAAAAATAAATAAATAAATCTACAAGCCGAATTACAGAATTAACCCACGCAGAGTCTGGCATTAGCCCACAAACTTCCTCCGGAAAAGATCTGTTTTAGTAGCTTCCGGAAAGCGCTTAGAATTGGAGCGAAATACTGATCCAGTATTTCTGATTTCATCTAGACCATCTTAACTCCAAAGCGTCTTTGATCTGTGACTAAGATGGTAGTTAGGGAGTGGGTGTGTTCTTTTTTTAAATGGTAATTAAATACGATGTATACCGGCATCCCTTTCCTGCACTGGGTTCAAAAACCCAGTGCAAGAAGGAAACTTTCCGCGCTATGAACTGAAAGGTTATTGCCGTTAACTAGATGTCAGTCTTCTTGTCACACCCTTGATAAGGACCAGTACGTGAGGTCCTTTGAATGCTATAAAAGTACTGAATTTTGCAGTTTTTTTCTTTTTGAGATACGGAAAGAGCAAATAGCCGCAAGACGTCAGCTTGTCTCGTGATTCAAACTAAGTAGTAGTCCAGTGACGCCTGGTGGTTTGTAAAGATAAAGGATTTGGGCCCATAGATGTCCTAAGCTCTGCTTAGCCGTCCTGGCAGAGGTCTTTTCAAAGAATGGAATGGAGTAGAATGGGAGTTATTGGGATTGCAATAAAATAAGAGTAGAATACTTTATTGGCTTAATGTGATTAGACACACAAGGAATTTATCGATGCAGAAGCTTTAGAAGATAATGTCCACAGAACATAAAAACGTGGGAATGCTTGGTTAGAAAAGCTGTAAACTCTGTCACAGAGTTAATGTTCATATTCAATAGTGGATTAAATTCTCAAAACATTTTTAATAGTAACACTAAATTTTTGGGGAAAGCAGCTGGCTTAATAGGAACAATTGCATTGTTGTGTGGGGATGCACCAAAATGTGAATAGTTTGTCTGGGTGATGACTATTATGTATTTAATATTTTCTTCACTCATTGACTCCCTAGTCCTGATATACATAATTTTGGAAACAATCTCTAGCTGTTTCATATAGTTTTTAATTGACAGCTAATGACAGAGAATGCAAATTTTCACTGAGAGTTACTGTTCCTAAGACTGGGAGCAACATATTATTTCTCAGCCCTCCCCATTATGCCCTTATAAAATATTCTGTAATGAAGAAAGGACCAAGATATAACAGCTAAGTTTTATATATTGCAAGTGAATAAAAGGCTGAATTGCTAAGTAAAATACTGGTATGAAATATAGATTTGTATTAATGGATGGTTTTTGGATTGAAAAGAAACTCAATGTTTGTTCTAAAAACTGACTATGCTTGTGTAAAAAAATAAAGAGCTGTATGATTGTTTGATCAATTCATTCTTGACCAATTTTTCATCTCATGCTTCATTGGAAATCTAGTAGGATGACAGGTTTTAGGTCAAAAATGTAGCTCTGCTATTATTTTTCTTAATATTATACATGATATTTTTCTGCAATATAACAAATTCCAATTTAAGAAATTGCTTACATAAAGGTGAAAAATGTGGCTGACAGCACAAATTAAAATTGCCAAATAAAATATTAATTTTATTTTAAAAACATTTTAATTATTTTCTAACACTTTGTTGCCCCTGTATGAGAAGATTAGCTGGGGAAGAAAGAAGAGAAAATATTGCTTAAAAACCCAGGAATAAAATACATTCCAAATATTCCTTTGTGTTTCTTCTAGGCATTTCTTTGAAGAACATTACAATTATGCTACTATCTTATGCTCACCTGGATACACAAGATGTCAAAGGTGTACAATGGTCAGAAGCATTTTATGAGTGTTAAATGTCTTGAAACAATTAGATATTAGAGAATTCCTATGATACTATTATGTGCCAATAGAGGGCATTTTTGACCATTCTGTGGAATAAAGTTTCTACCTATGCAAGTTCTAAAAAAAATGGTCCCCAAATTCTCAAACTTGACTCTTTGTTGGCACTATTGAATATAGAGAAACTGTCTAAATGGGAATTCACTTCCAAATTTAAATTATTACTTTAAAATTTCCCCCTCCCCCCAAAAAGCCACACTGCATTGATTTCTCTTACTTGTTAGCTCCCAGCTGTATTGGACAACTTCCAGCATTTCCAATAGGAATGGAACATTGCTGCTAATGCCTAACCTATCCAGGCAGTAGGTTTGTGATTGCTCCCATGTAAATAGTTGTGAAGGAAGTTGGGGGATAGATAAATAAAAATCATTTTTGATGTTTTGTTGATATTTCTGATGCTCTAATAATCTGTTTCTTGCATAGGCAGAAAATTAACTGTTTGATGTGTTGCTTCTGGCAGACCCTGGTATCTTCCACAATTGCCAGTACATTCACACACAAAAATATTGGGGTTTGTCTTAACAATGTCAACATGGACTGCAGAGGATGCCTAAGAAACAAAGTATTCTGAAATTTTACAGTTGGAATGAAAATATTTTTAAAAAAATGTTTTGCAGAGTAGAGGATGTTGAATGAATGTTGATTTTATTTATATGCNCGTGAACCGGTTGAAACCCACCCCTGACTAGGAGTAACATGATAGCAGCATCCCAGTATTTGAGAGACTGTCACAAAGGGGAGGGGGTCAGCTTATTTCCCCAAGCACCAGAGGGCAGGACAAGGAACAATGGATGAAAACGAATAAAGGAGAGTAGAAATCTGGAATTAAGAAGAAACGTCCTAATAGTGAGAACAATTAACCAGTGGAACAACTTGCCTTCAGATGTTGTGGGTGCTTCATCACGGGAGGTTTTGAAGAAGAAATTGTACAGTCACTTGTCTGAAATGGCATAGGGCAGTGATGGCTAACCTTTTTTTTGTCAGAGTTCCCAAAGCACACATGTACGCGTATGCAAGTGCGTGCCCGTGGCCAAACCTCCAAAATGCCCACACCCTGCCCATCACGCACACTCATGTGACCCCACACGTGCACGACAGAGACCTGGAGCCCAGCTGGCCAGCAGTAGGCCTATACACATGTGTGGCGGATCTAAACTGGGGCGATGGCTTGCGTGCCATCAGAGCAGGTGCTTCATGCCACCTCTGCCATAGGCTTGCCATCCCGGGAATAGGGTCTCCTGCTTGAGCAAGGGGGTTGGGCTAGAAGACCTCCAAGGTCCCTTTCAGCTCTATTCTGACTCCAACTTAAGGCTTTGGAGGTCTGCAGATTAAATGTCTGTGAGAACAAGTCAAGTTGTATTTAGGCAAAATGCTTTCCAGCAATTGTTTGTATTGTTGCGATTGTGTTTTCACGCCAAGAATGTAGTGAACTTTTTTTTCTTTATACTCGCACTAGTGAAGAAAAATGAATTTCTCTTTCAAGATAACTCTTAATAAACACTTGAATGCTGGATTAATAAAGATTTTAAGATCCAAGACAAAGCTTAATTCACTAGGTAGCCTGAATATTTTGTCCAAACATGCTAATAAAATAATTCAGCTGTTAGAGGACAGAACATTTTTAGATGCTCCAGTCATCAAATTATATGAAAAAAAATATTTTTTTTAATAAGCAAGACAAAATAGTAGTGGAGGTTTGCAAGCAAGCAACCCAGCTTCTACTAAAAAGACAAGCAAAAATGAACATTTTCTGGAGCTGGGGGGCGGGGGGGGGTAGTTTTCAGATTTGATGTTAGCTTTCCATTTGAGATGAACCTTAACTGTATGGAGCTAAATATTTTTTTTAACAACCTGTCTTTAATATAATAAGCATACCTCCTCAGCTAATTCCAAGCTTCCAGTTTTATCTTCTTCATTGTCATTTTTCTTATGTCCTCATTAGAATCATTTTCTTTCTCTCCTTCTCTGCTCGTTATGTTGTGTCTCTTTATAGTATTTCATTTCATGCTTTTTTTCCCTTACCAGAATAGTGAATTTAACTTTATCTTTAGTTTTAATTCCATGGGATGGCTTGATAGCCCCTAAATAAATAAATACACTTGAATCAGAAGATAATAGTTTTTCTAAAGCCAAGGGCTCCTTTTTTTATCCTTATGTTTCCCATATACAGCTTCTTTTTCCGTAGAACTGTCCATTTGCTCACCAACAACCCTGTCAGTCTCTTCTCTTTTCTGTTTGCAATTCTGCTGAATAGGACATTGTTCTTTTGTTTTTTTCATTCTTTTATTAAGGCATCTTTGATCATTGTCCAGATTCCAGTAGGAATTTTTTGTTTATACCTGTTCCCCTTTCTTTTTTGTGTGTGGATATTATATATATATATATATATATATATA